GCTGGTCTCACTTTCATGGCCCCTACCTCCAGTGGCACCTTAGTGCCACCAGATGCTTGTGTATTAGTCTCTAGTCCCTTTGCTCTCACCAACATGATACCCCTGGACATGTCTAAGCAGAATCCCTTAGTTGGGCACTGGCTTCCATCTCTCCATTGCTCCACAAATTTTCCCTCTCCCAAATCAATTTTGCTTCCTCCACTAGACCATCTCCAGATCATGCAAAATGCTGTTATTTTTATCATCTTAAAAAAACTTTCTCTTGACCCTACTCCCCAAATCCCTCTTCTTTTTTTTGGCTGCAAAACTCCTTGAAAGTGTTTCCTGTCTCCAATTCTCTCTTGATTTTTCCTTTCCTTGTGTGGGAGATCAAGATTTGGCCACCCTGAAATCTACCTCTTTACCTTGGTTGTTTTCTCTAGGGACATTTGACCCCCCCCCCCCCACTAACTGCCTAAAGAATTTGACATGGTCGCTCCTTCCTGGAACAGATCTATCATGATGGCTGTAAAGATAATGTAGGATAGAGGTTACAATAGAAAAGGCACCAACAAGCCCATCTTATCGGAAGTTCTGTCTCTCTGGCCACATTCTCTGGATGGCCCTGAGAGGAGTTGCCAGACAATCATTTACATTTATAAGGGAAATCTCCATTTGTAAAGGTATCTCCCTCTCTATTTTGGGAAGAGGGGGAGATGGCCTCATTTCTAGAGGCTTATCAATGTGGATGCTGAGGCCTTAAAGCTGCATAATAACCTTACTCTTGTTTACTGTGCTTTAGTGGTAATCTCCTGTAACTGACTCCCCCCACCCCCAAAATCCTCCTTTGTTATGGCTAAACATGGTATTTAAGACGAGGATTTCTGCTATTGTGTTGAGAAACGCAGTGTCCCTGCTTTCTCCCATGTATACATGTTATTAAACTTGGTATTATTTTCTCCTGCTAACCTGTCTTGTTAATTATTTGGCCAGCCATAAGAACCTTAAGGAAACGGGCAGAGGGAGATTCCACCTCTTCCCCCGACACTTGTAAACTTTTTTCTGAAGTGTAACTAACATACTTAGGGAAAGTGAATAATCACTTAATTATTCTTCACCGAAACTGCTTTTGTCAAGGTCATTAATGATCTCCAGGTTTCTCAGTCCTATAGACAAATCTCATCCCTTGCCTTTGCAACATTTCATTCGTAATCATTGCTCTTCACTGATGCCTTTGCTTCACTTGGCTTCCAGGATCCCACTTACTTTTTGCTTTTCCTACTTCCTTGGTTTGCTTCTATTTGTGTGTCAGTGCCTCTTCCACCTCAACCTTTTGTGGAACACCGCAGGCCCTAGTCCTTAGCCACAGGCATTCCCTTGAGCATCTCCTTCAGGTTCATGACTTTAAAATACCATTTCTATGCCAATGACTCCCATATATGTATCTTTAGTCCAGACCTCTCTCCTGAACTCTAACAGCCTCCACTTGGGTGTCTAAGACATCTCAAACCCAACATGTTCAAAATCCAGAATAGTTCCTCTCAAGCCTGTTACATGCGGCTTTCTGTCTCTGGGTGGCACCTCCAGTCCTTCTAGTTGCTCAGGCTAAAACGCCTTGGAGTCATCTTTGGGGTCCTACTCCTCACATCCTGCAGGAAATCCTATTTGCTCTGCTTTCTAAACATCCATAGCCTGAACTCTGGAGGCTCATTGATCACCTCCACTTCTATCCCCTCCTCTGTCCTAAAATACTGCAATAGTCTCCTGACAGGTCTTCATGTTTCTCAACCTAGCAGCCAGAGCCTTTCTTCTCAAAAGTAAGCCTGATCCTGCCACCGCTATGTGCCCACAGTGGCACTCCTTCTCATGTGGAGATAGCAGCTGCAAGTTCATGTTTTGTACCTGAGCCTTATCCCTCAGCTGGGATGTATCCTTCAAGAGGTCTCAAAGTTGACACTAAAGAGTAGTGATTTATGGAGGTTGTATAGCTCAAATAAAAAAAACTCCATTGTGCTGTTTGGGAGCCTTTACGACACAGTAGAGACTTTCATAAGAGACGGTCTTGTCTGAAAATTCAGTCCTACAGAATCGTACAGTTATTTAACATCCCTGAGCCTTGGTTATGTGTTCCTGTTTTGGCTCTTGTTCATGTGTTCCTGTCTTGGCCCTTGCTCATCATTTCCTCCACTTAAAACACCCTCCACCCCTTCCCCATTCTCCAGCCATGGACCTCACATGTCACTTTTGTTAGAGATTTCCTCCCACTCCCCCCTCTCACTCCCCAGTCAATGAACGGTCTTTCCCCTTGCCTTTGGGTTTCATTAGTGTATTCAATCAATACTTAGCAGGCTTCTTACAACATTTTGGGGATAGAGCAGAGAATGAAAGGGAGGAGCTCTGCCTTAGAGGAGTTTCTGGTCTAGTGTTGAATGCTGTCCAACAGAGTAGCCATGTGTGGCTATTTAAATTTAAATTAATTAAAATCTAATTAAATGAAAAAAAAATTCCTCACTCATACTAACCACACTTCAAGTGCTTGCACAACGCCCATAGAGAATAACCTCATCATCACAGGAAAGATGTGTTGGACAGCACTGTACAAGAGGGAAGAGAGATGGACAACACACACACACACACACACACGTACACACACCTATTTCACAGAAAATAAGGTAATAAATTCTGTGTAGAGAGCCAGCCCTGAGGACCTAGTGGTTAAATTTTGGTGCACTCCACTTCAGCGGCCTGGGTTCAGTTCCCGGGTGTGGAACCTTGCCATGCGTCTGTCAGTAGCCATGCTGTAGTGGGGGCTCACATAGAAGAACCAGAAGGACTTATAACTAGAATATACAACTATGTACTGGGGCTTTGGGGAGGAAGGGCAAAAAAGAGGAAGATTGGCAATAGATGTTAGCTCAGGGCGAATCTTTCCCAGCAAAAAAAAAAATGCTGTATGGAGAACTGAAACAAAGTGATACAGACAGAGTGACTGGTTGACTACTTTAGATAGAAGGGCCAGGGAATGTCTGAGAAGGTGACATGTAAGCAGGTATCAGAATGAACAGGAGAACTCTGAAAATGGTGGGGTGAAGGAATTGGGATCTAGGCACAGCGTACTGCAAGGGAAATGTCCCAATGAAGGGATACACTTGAATGCACCCCAAGTGGCTGGAGCCCCGTCGGGAGGGGAAAGGGTGGTAGAAGAAATCTGAGATGTAGGCAGGGACCACAATGGGGCTTTGTAAATTTGAGTAAGGAGTTCTATTTTTTTTTCTCTGAAAGAGCCATGGGGGTTGTAAGCAGGGGAGTGACATGGTCGGATTATATATTTACCATTTATATCATTCTGCCCAATTTTATTAGTTAGTTGCTTACTTACCTGTGTCTCCACCCAATTGCACAATCCTGGATTTTTTTCATCCTTAGTATATTGAATCTTACCCCATTAGCCTCAATATACTAGTAATACCTGTGGAAGAATTGAATTAAATTAGAAAATCCTTATCACTGACCTATTGAGATTTGGCTGAGTCTCAGAGTATAACAAAATTAGCCATAAAATATTTTTCTTCCCAAATAAATAAGGCATGACCCACTTCTGTGTGAGGCATTTCAGAATTCTTCCCCCCACCTTTGGTGGTGGTTGCGGTGGGGTCAATAGTGTCCCCGCCAAGCATATAAATGTAGAGAATAAAAGGATAGCAGGTATGCAGAAATGTGCCCATTCCTTGAGGGAACTAATCTTGTTACTCAGTTGAATTCAAGTGCGTGACATTGTAAAGGTAGGAGGGCTATTACAGATCAGATGGTCGAACCCCCATCGTTTTATGGAAGAGGCGAATTTTGGCAAATAGGCCAGGGGAGAGCCTGTGTGAAGGCCGAGTGACAGGAGCAAGCTTGTGTTCAAGGAGGTTCAAAGACAGGGGCCTCCTCCAACCAAGGCAGACTTCAGACACCGAGGTTACCCAGGGAGGCTGGGGCAGGGCAGGCTGAAGAAGGGAGGGTGGTAGGGGCTGTGTGTTGCCATGTAATTTTATTTCACAGAACGCCAAAAAGCTGAGTCCTCATGTGGGCTCTCTGGATTTTAAAATTTTGGCTATTGAGAGATGAATTTTTAAACACAGTTGTACAGAGCCCTCTGCAGCCAAATATAGTCTTTGTGCCACCAGTTTGCAGCATCAGGCTTTAGGTCTCTTCCAAGAGGGGAGGCTGCTGGAGTCTGGGGTTTGCATTCCAGGGTGGTGCAGGACCCACAGTATGCCAAGGCCATCATCCACTTCTCCGGGAAGCCTGTCATGGGCTGCAAGAAGGCTAGAAATGGAGCACCAGTGCTCCCCTGGGCGGAAGTCACCGAATCTTTAGACCGGAAGGGGAGTTAATGAAGTACTAGGCAGGCTTAGACATGTTTGTATGGTTTAATATTAAGAGCAAAAGTCAGAAGACCTCATCTGGAATCTAGGCTCACTTAATCTCTCCAAGCTTCAGCTTCCTCCTCCATGAATAGGATTAAAAGCAACACCTGCTAAGGGGTTCTGTGAGGATTAAATGCACCTCGGCGCTTGGCACGGAGCCTGCTACACAGTAAAGTCTCCAGAAACCTTGGTTAATATTAATGCTTATTTAGGTTTAGTTTTCGAAGTTCTCCCACAACATTTTTGCTCATTATAACAATCCTTTGAGGGAGTCAGAGCAAGTATTTTTAGTGCTATTTTACAAAAGAGAAAGTCAAGGGTTGGAGGAGCTCACTAACTTGCAGGCATACTCCGCTTCATAAGTGGCAGAGCCAGGATCTGAACCAAAGTCTGTTTTCTGAAAAATTTGCCCTGACATCACTCAGTAAGATGTGGTCTGAGTCATTGCTTCCTGTAGCATGAATTGTTAGGCACGGTGATTCACGTTCTTGCTTAATTCTTGCTAGTTGCAAACTTGGCAATATGACTGAGGCTAGGGACTAGCCATTGTGGCCACAGAGCAGGAGGTACTCTGCACTCACCAAAGCGCCAGTTGACTCTCATCTCAGAGGCCCAGGGTAAGTGCCCCTCGGCCACTGGAAGACTTGTCTTTGCTCTGGTGTTCCCCCAACTGAGCCTGCCTCTGGTTTCCTTTCTGTTTGCTCCCTTATCTCCTGTCAGAGCACCAGGAGTCAGTTTGGACTCTATGTGGAGAAGGAGCTGGGAAGTAAGGGGTTGCTTCCAAGGACAACTTCGCCTGTCTGTTGGAAGATACAGAGCCCTCAGCCACCCTGGAGCTAACAGAGACCTAAAGCAAGCATGCGTACGTGGTCTCTCATCGCTAGCTCACGTGATACGCACAGTCAGGGTGAAAGGAGAAGTTGCACTCTGAGAATTAAGACTTTTTCCTATACCATCTGGTGGGGGGCACACCAACCAGTCTGTTTTCTCTTATTCAGGCCAGTGCCATCATGAATCCTCTGGTAGCCATCTCAAGCCTTATCCTACTTCTGACAGGTGAGTGAATAGGGGTCTGGGGTTTGGAAACCCGAGGATGGGGGAGTGTAAGGGGGGTGTGGGTATGGTGCAGGAAGATGGATGTTCTTGGGCTTGTTCTTGGAAGGTAATGGGTCATCTAGTGAGCAAAGAACCAGGCTGAAATCTTACTCCAAAGAAATTGCTTAAATGCTACGAATTACAAAATCCATGGGTAAGTGTACGGGGCACGACGCTGAACAGTGTGTCATGTGCTATCATTTGTGTTTAAACAAAAAGGGTGGGTAGATAGACGTGTATGCATGGACTACTCAAGCGTATGTAAGAAATATTAACAGTGTTAGGGTGGAAAAGAGATGTCTTCATTGGACCATTCTGTGCTCTTTGACACATTTTTTTTTAACCATGTACAACTATTTCTTTTAAAAATAAAATATTTTAATTCAGAACATTCTATGAGATGGGGAAAAATTCAGAAATAAACATATCCTAAATTGTAAAAACAATAATCTCTAGAGGTGAGATTATGGGCAAAAATTCATTTTTTGGTATACTTCTATAACTTAATTTTTATAATTAGCATGTATTATCTTTGTAATCCAAAAACGATATTAGGCAAAATTAAATATTATAAGAATTCCGGTGAAAAAATGGACTCTTATTTTATGTAACAATGAACATTTTATTCCTAGAGCATTTCCCAAATTCACAGCCCAGTCCTAAATATGATTAGTAGGTGAATCTCAGATTTCTTTTAAAGGCCACCTTGACTGCATTTGGCAATATAGGGTTTTTATGTCAGTGACACAGGAAAGAGGTTTTGAGTTTGTTTTTGTTTTTAGGTGGCATAATTTAGTGTTTGATTGAATATTCTACAATTCTCTGGTTTCACCAGGGTAAGTGGACCTTGCTCAGTTGCCAGACTGTCATCAACTTATGAGAAGGGATCCCTACTTGGACTTTTTTGGACTGATCCTAAAGCCCATGATAAGCTGCGGTTCTTCCTGGAAGTATTAGAAGCCAATGTTCTAAAAACTGATTTCTGAAGAGTTTACTAGACTTCTGCCTTTAAGCCAACAATCCTCTAAACTAAACATTAGCTCTGCTTTCTTTTTTTTTTTTTTTTGAGAGAGGGGCTGTGAGTTGACTTCATTTGCAATAACAGTTTTAAAAACTGCAATAAAAACTTTAAATGCAATGGAATTTTTAAACGTATTTCAACTGAGACAGTGATTGAATCTAGAGGAGAGCAAAAGCCACATGCAGGGGGGCCGGCCCGGTGGCGCAAGCGGTTAAGTGCGCGCACTCTGCTGCGGCGGCCCGGGGTTCACTGGTTCGGATCCTGGGTGCGCACTGACGCACTGCTTGTCAAGCCATGCAGTGGAGGCGTCCCATATAAAGAGGAGGAAGATGGGCATGGATGTTAGCCCAGGGCCAGTCTTCCTCAGCAAAAAGAAGAGGATTGGCAGATGTTAACTCAGGGCCGATCTTCCTCACCAAAAAAAAAAAAAGCCAGATGTAGGTATTACCTGTTAAATAAGCTGATACCTGTCAAATACAGGATGAAATACACGCCCATGTGTTACTGGAGTGTCATTTAGTTCAAACTTTTTGGAAAGAAATTTGGCCATATTCATCATGAGACTGAAAATATTTCTGCCCTTTATCTTGGTACTTATTGTCTTAGATACCGATCCTACTAGAAAACAATCCTGAATACAGAAAAAGTTTAAATGATATTTTATCTACAAATATAGCTAATAAACAGTACTGCTGATGAAGAATATGTTACCATAGAAAAATGCTTATAATAAATTTTAAAAATTCAAGATATAGTCATTTGATTACAAACCAAATAAAGTACATAAAGAAAAAAGTGAAAATATTGAGGCCCCACGCTCAGTTTTCTCTATTTTTTTTTTCTGTTTTCTCTTTATTTGTAGATGCTGTAGTTTCTTATACACAAGTGAGTGGAGTGGTGGGTCAACCTGTCACGCTGCTCTGCACCTACTCAGCAGCTAATGGAGCCATCACGACCATGTGCTGGGGCCGAGGGCAGTGTCCTATGTCTCGGTGCTTAGATGAAATTATCTGGACTAATGGATCCCATGTCACTTTTCAGAAGCACACACGTTATAAGCTAAAGGGAAAGCTTTTGGAAGGAAATGTGTCTTTGACCATAGAGAATGCAGTCCAGGCTGACAGTGGCCTGTATTGTTGCCGTGTTGAGCACAAGGGGTGGTTTAATGATATGAAACTCACCCTATCATTGGAAATAAAACCAGGTGAGCTTGTCTTCCTTCTTCCTTTGATCACTTCATGTGGGTTAACTCAGATAGAATTTTCTGTTTGGTAGTAATTTTCTCTTCCTTTAATAGGGAAAGAGGAGGTTCCTGCTATCTTGTTTCCCAATAACTCTTTGGAAATAGAAAAACTTTCATTTGTGGAGAATAAGGTGTTAAGACCAACCTTGATTCAAGACCATACGCTAAAGGATATACCCAGTCAGCAAACTGTCTCTTAAAACAATGCCTCAAAAATGCTAGTGGGTTCCTGAAAAAGCATTCACTGTTTCATAGTGAAATATAGTGAACATTCTTATCAAACTGAATTTATTCAACTTAAAGAACTGCCCTTTTCTCTGAGATTATGTCTTAAAAGAATTTTAAAGTATCCTTTCTTAACATTTTAAAGTGATTACAGAGAATTTCTAATATACAAAGTACATAATATAAGGTACTGTCAAGAAGATACATCGCCCAGCTTTAACAACTGTCAACTCAATCTTGTTGCATATACGTAAGCATATATAGTTCCACCCCCTCCCTCCGCCCTTCTTTGGATTTTTTGAAGCATATCTCACATCATATCTCAAAATTGCTTGTTTAAAAATTAAAATGATCTTATTGCAATATGAAAATGTTTGCATCCCAATAGCTATTCACCAGTTGCTTTTAAGAATTTCATGAAATCCAAAAATCTGGGAAGTTCACATTTTTCTGTCTTGATGTGGACATCCTAATTTTCCTTATCATTCAATGAAAGAAGTAGATTCTTCAGGATTTCCTGGTTTCTGGTGCTCTTTCCTAATGAATCTCCTTCTATTAAGGTCTTCTGTTGACCATAGAATCCAATGCCCTTGGCCTTAATAGCTATGTCTCTCTTTTTTTTTAGTTAAGAGGAACTTGATTGTGCAATCTCCCAACTTTTGGACTCGGCTTGTTTCCCTTATGAGGGCAAGAAAGATAAGGTCATTCTGACAGAGAAAATAGCTGACTGTGGGGAAATGATATATAGAAGGCAATTTAGGGAAGCCAAAAGAGGCTGGTGATATAGTGTGCTAAAGACAGATGTGAGGAGGCAGCAGGTGGAGAAGAGACTGTGGTTACAACATTTTTGGAGTTGTGAAATTATATTATTGGTCTGGCTGACTTTTAAAAAATGACATAGAAAGAAATTAGTGGGAGATTTTTATAGTACTTAGCAATTTTTTAATAGGCGGGTATTTACAAAGCCACTGCTCTGTCCAGTGGCAAGTGGATCTATAACTGAGCCAAAGTGACTCTCTGCTTCCGATAACCAATTCTTTGCTTCGATTTTCTCGCACTTTTCACAGGCTGCACTTACTCTGCAACCTTCTGTTAGAGCTTTTCCACACCAGCATCTCCACTTATGGTTTCCTAGCTTCTTCCTGGGGAAAATATTTACCACTGAGGAAGACAAATTCATTAGTCAAGCCGATTAGGTTTCCTCCTCTTTATTGTTTCCATTATGATCCTTCCATGAGACTTTTTGCATGCTGGCTTTTTTTCTCTAGATTAGATTTTATTTTATTTTTAAAATTTTTTTTTAAATTTTTTTAATTTTAATTTTTTCCCCCAAAGCCCCAGTAGATAGTTGTATGTCATAGATGCACATCCTTCTAGTTGCTGTACGTGGGACGCAGCCTCAGCATGGCCGGAGAAGCAGTGCGTTGGATGCCCAGCATCCGAACCTGAGCCGCCGGCAGCGGAGCGCGCGCACTTAACGCTAAACCACGGGGCCGGCCCTCTAGATTAGATTTTAAACTGGAGGGAGGGGATTAGATTGTACTCTTCTTAAAAGCCTCTGACTACACAATAGATCAGGGTCAGTAAACTATAGCCTCTGGGTCAGATCAGATTCCAAAACAGGCCCACCAACTGTTTTATAAATAAAGTTTTGTTGGAACACAGCCACACCCATTGTTTATATACTATTCGAGGCTACTTTCACACTGACAGTTGAGCAATTGCCGCTTAGACCACAGGGCCCTCAAGACCTAAAACATTTACAAGCTGGCCCTTTACAAAAAGCTTGCTGACCTCTTTAGATTAATGCCTGCACATAATAGGCACTAGCAAGTATTTGTTGACAAAAAATTTTTTTCCTCTTCAAGGCAAAAATTGGCTAGATTCCGAATTAAATCGGATCTCTCAGAAGAGTTTTCAAACCAATTGTCCCCTATCCAAGGAAACTGAGGTTTTCTTTTATAGTTAGTAGGGTTGAAATTTAAAGAAATCTTTCGCAGGAAAAAATGTGCCTAATGAGATAAAAGTACACATTCTTGATTCAGTCCTTCATTAACTTTGCTTTTGCGCCAGGTACTGTGTTTGGGCTTAATTCTGGTTTCATCTCTCTCTTTGGGTAGCTCTGAGACCTTCAGTAAGTGGTTTGGAATCCTACATCACTTCTGATTCTGGAGAGAGTCAAAGTTGTTACCTCTTGCTATTATCTCTTAGGTGAGAAGGAACCTTAAAAGGTCTAGTCCACCTTCTAACCAAATGTATAGATCATCCGTGGGATCTAGCATATGCTAATGGGTGTGAGTTATCCCTCATTTAAGATGCAGGGCCATTGGGAACTGCATCAGGGCCATCAGGACTGACTGAGCTAAATGTTATTTATTTGGTAACTATTCTGGGCCTGGAAACTACTGTTTTACGTCTTAGTCATTCACCACTGAGAGGACGAAGATAGCTCCAGTGTCTAGACATTTTCCCCTACCTCACAGATATTTATGATGATACCTAAATCTAATATGCATGGCTGGTCTTCTCAAAGTGCTTGAATGCAAATCCCAGATATCATTTTTTACCTCGGAACCTCCCCAAATATGTACCTTTCAATACAGCAGTTTCCTTTTTGCAAACATGTCTTCAAGCCATCCCTAGTCACAGATTCTAGTTGACCAATGACATGAACTCTGAGTTCATGGGAAACTAGTACCCAGTTCTGCCTGGGGACGGTCTCTCATTCGTTGTGTTGGTGTATGTACAGGCCCAGCACAAGGCTCTTGTTTCCTGCTGCTTGACTAATCCTTGCTTTCATGTTGATTTCTAACTCCAGCTGAGGTCACCAGTGTTCCAACATCACCTAGGGCCTCTACCTCTGCTCCTCCAATGCCAGCAGCCACGCAGAACCTCAAGCCAGGTAAACAGATGTGTTTCTGAGCCTAGAGGCCTTCTAATGAGAGGATGTAGACCATCCAGGGCATTATGTTAAGGCAGAAGTACAATCTAGGATAAGAGTTCTTACCTGGATTCCAAACATGGACTTCACAGGGTCTGTGAACACCTTGTCCCAAATTATATGCACCTTTTGAACATATAAGCATTTTCAGAGTGAGGGGACCCATAGCTTTTTGTCACATTCTCAAAGGGATTCATTATTAGCCAAAAGAAATCCCCCAAAACAAAAGCCAGACAACTGATCTTGGACATCTAATGAGAATGGTATGGATTCGGCCCACTTGAGCTCAGGTTTATGAGGAAAGAACAGGGAATGCCAGAGTACAAGGGTCAGGTTAATGAGATTCTGTCCTCACAAGGAGCTCTGAATGGAGGTTGTTTGTTCTGTTCTGAAGTCGGACCCTCCACTTGAGGATAAGATTTCAGTGAGGTTAACATTTACTCTTTCCTATGTACCAGGAACCGTGCTAAGTGCTGTACAAGTGTTATATCACTTAATTGTTATGACAACCCTTTGCATTGTAGGTGTGATTCAATCCTATTTTATAGTTGTGGAAACCGAGGCACAAAGTCTAAGTTTGTTGTTGAAAGTCATACGGATAGAAAGTGATTGAGTCGGGATTCAGTCTCTGTTAATTTGAATTTGGGGCTTGTGCTTTTACCTATCAGATCGTGCCTTCTATCACGAACACTGAGCTCATGTTTGGATGAGTTTTTCCTGATCTGACATCCTCGCTGAAAAAGCCTTTATACAATTACCTTGTCTTCTCAGGGCAGTCCGTGACTTACAGGGTTTTGCTTCTAGCATCCTTTAATTTATTTATGTAGCATAGAAATTGCAAAAGATGCCATTTATACTCATTAAAAAGTAAACATCAGATTTAAGGACCTCAGAGATTTAAAATTTACACGTTTGTTTTTTCAATTCAGGCCATATGCTTCATGCTTCAAATTTTCGATAGATAAAACTTTAGATTTAGTACAAATGGAGAATAATTTGACTTATAGGTTGGGAAATAGCTTGCCATTCTGAGGACAAGTTTAGGTTCAAATCTTCTATTTCTAGGATTAAAAAGATAACTTTTAGTGGAGATTCTCAAAGCCTCCAAAACTCTTTGACACATTGAGGTGGCTCTGAATTCCGAGGAGTAACAGAGATGTCGCAACGTTTTAGCCAGAAAAATCTGATTGAACGTATTGATTTCCCTTGACTCCCATGGAAGCACGTGTATATTCAACCAGGAGGGATCTGAAGGATTGGGCTATGAGCTATGTTTGGAAGAGAGGGCTTTAGGTTAAAACTGGGATTTTAGAGCCATAAAAGTTTGCAAGAAAAACAGCTTTGTTCCAGGCAGCTGAACACATGAGAGAATCTGTTGAGTTTCTCAATATTGATTTAGCCTCTTAATACTTAGTTTGTGCCTGTGAAGGTGGATGGATTAGTGGACCTGGTTTGGCGACCATGCATAAGTTATTGACTTCATTTAAAACAGAGATTTAAAAGAAAAGTATTGGTTTATATGTCCATGTGACCTCCTGGTGGATAGTGTTAAATGAATCAAGCCTTATCCTTATCCTGATAGTTTCCTAAAGAGTTTGAGCTTAGAGTTGAACTTTATAATACAGGAAGGAGGTGAGCACTGGAGCTAATCCAATACAGGGACATTTATCTTTACATCCACTCCCTCCCTGTGCTCAGTGCCTCTAGTACATGCTAGTTGCCTAAAATATTCATGGAATGTTTAGATGTAAGGTTGTAGGGGAAGGGGAGAAAAAAATGATGCCCACAAAGACGCAAACTTGGGAAAGAAGTTATGCTCAAGAGCTGTTTTGCACAGATCTAAGTTGGATAAAGACTGATCATCTGACTTTCTTGTATTGTCCTGTTCTTAGTTCCTAAAGAGAGCTACATCCCATTAGAGATTTCAGTATTAGAGGAAAACAGTTCAGGACATGAGAAAGTGTGATGTTAAAGTGTGAAGACCATGGTGGAGAAGAGGAAACAGAAAGACCAGTGAGAGGCAATAAGAAAAGCTGATTATTGAGAATTCTTGTCCAGCTGGCGCCAGTAATTTGCTCTAAAGTTCTGTGGTGCTCTAAGGGGAAGGAATATAAAGATCTTATAATGAGGCAAGTGATTAACTCTGCAGGTAAGGTGAGATATCTGATAGAAAATAACTGAGTGATTTCAAAAAAGGAAAGGGAAACATAAAGTCCTGTAAGGGAGAATTCTTAGTGAAGCTTTTCGGTGAGAAATGGAAGATGAGTCAGATAACACAGGAAATCAGTTTAACAAAAGGAGCCACTGCAGAAGGAGCCAGGGTCAAGGTCTACCAGGAATGTTGCTTTGAGGGTTGTCAATCATTACCAAGGTTCAGACATTGGACATTACAGTTACCTTGAAGAGATCACAAGGAATTAATTACTGTGAGGATGTATTCTGTGCTGGTCAATATGTGCATCTCCCTGGAAAGATGTGTGAATGGATAATTGGTAACTTGAATAAGCCCAGGAAATCCAGATTGGGGTTGCTGTGAAGGAGGGAGGGCAGATTAGTGTAAACTTCCAGGCCCTGTTCTGTGAAAGTGAAATGTCATTTGTATGAATAAAAGCTTAATTGGATGCCCTGTTTTAGACGTTACACATTTAGGGGGATCCTAGGAGTATAAAAAGTGTGAAATAATTCTTTCTATAGATAAGCTATCCAGATCATTATCTAGATCAGATTTATTCATGATAATGAAATACCTAGATGCCCGTGCAATGCCTCCAGGCCATCTTTGAATAAATTTCTAAGAGGGAGTTGAAACGTAATTCTGATTTTAGTTTTGTTTTTTATTTTTGTTGGGAATGGGAATTTTCCTCCACGAATAGAACATAGTTATCCCATTCTTTTCATTCCAGTAGCTACTTTGTCTTCTCCAGTGCAGACAGCAGAAACCCAGCCTACCACCCTGCAGGAAACACGTACGACCAGCGCGCCATTGCTCTCTTGCGCAGCAGGTAACTTCCGTTTTCTTTCCTGAGCACCCGGGAGCACTCGCATTTTGATAACCATTGACACATTATTAAGAGCACATATTCTGGAATAAGATGGATGTGCCTGAGTGCCTACACTGGCCACTTCAATCAGCCATGTGGCTTGAACAAATGTCTTACTCTCTCTGAATCTGTTTTCATCATTTGCAAAATGGATGGAGTATCCCTGATCTGGTAGAATCCTTGTGAAGATTACATGAGACGGAAGAGCTTGGGATGTGGTTAAAGGGAGTAAGTGATAGATACAATAGCAATATGACTATTACTTAGAATGTCCAGAATACATACACCTGACTGGCCTAGGTAGCTTGTAAGATTTGGCAACATCCACATGCATATAGGTATTTTTCTAAATCAAATGAACCAGTCTTGACTCCAACTTATTACTGGGGAGCCTTAAAACAATTAAATCCAAACCAAACTGGTCACCCAGTTATGCTTCGCCTAAGCCCCAGAACCTAAATACAGCGAGGAGGCTCCCCTGCTACCTTGTCAAGCTTGCACCTGGGCTCTTTGAGTTGGGTTGAGGACACCGACACTGGCACCAAAAACTCTTCTCCACTCTCCGCATTCGGGGCAGGTCCCATATAATCTCTACTCTTTTGAAATATAAGATTGACCTGTCTTTCCTGTGGTGAAGAAAGGTGATACTGAACCTTGTCACCTTTCTCAGCTAGCTCTGTTACCCATAGTGGTAATTTTGGGGAGTGCCACACGCAGAACCCCTGTGTAATGCAGAGCTGGCTTATGTGTCCTTGTGCCTGTGCTGCATCTAGACAAGGTCAAGCCTTGCAAGCTCCTCATGTGTATGACTCATTTGTACTCAGGAGTTGCCAATCTGTAGGGGGCCCCCATATGACCTACCTTTTGCCAATCATCTCTGGAAGGTGGTTAATTTAAAATGGACCTGCTGTGAGATTCACAGTGGGACCCATTCAGATGGGATTAGATAATGGTGATATTTGGTTTTGAAAGTGGAATCCTTAGTGTGAGCCGTTTCCAGGCACAAAAACAAAGTGAAAACAGATAAGAACACAGGGTAATAACAGTAGGAGCAGCTGCACCCCACACTTTTGGGGTGTGAGGAGAAAGAAAGTAGGAGAGGAGAATCATTCTCTAAAATATCATGTCACTAAAACCTAGTCAAGGTAGAGCTTTCCAGAACGGAACAGACATTGGAGCAGCTGTGTCCCGATGCCTTGTGTGACTGCTGCCATCTTGGCGGTGTATCTGAGGCTCTGGAGCCAAATCCTCACTGTGCCTGAGTCAGCCTTCAGTAGGCTGAAGCCTCACAGAAGCAAAGAATATTAGGTCTGGAAGGGATTTTGGTCGTCATATGGCCCGCCACCCACCTTTGGAAGATGTATGTGCCAGGAAACTGTCATGCATCACGTCATTTAATTCTTTCAAGGCACGCCTTATTTATTGCCATGGCCAGATTGAGGAGGCCCTATAGTCCCGCTCTGGAGACAGACAGCTCCCAATTCAACTGCTAGCTACTAGCTGCGTGCCCATGGGCAAGTTGTCGCACTCCTCACTGGATGTTTCTGATACTTGAAGGGCACGATGTTTGGGAAATGCATTGCACGGTGTTTATCCTGCACTGCTCCTTCCGTTATAATATCATAATAGTTAGTAATAGCTGATATTTATCCTACATGGTGTTAAGTGCTTTACATGCAATTTCTAATTTAACAACTTTATGAGATAGGTACTATTAATAGCTTGTAGTTCAAGGTTACTCCAGCTAGAAATATTATATATTTATTATATATATTATTTATATATATACACACACACATACATATGTACACATAGACACATACGTACATATATATGTATGCAAAGGACCTTGATTAAGGTCACATAGCAAAGGGACACTTTCAGCATTGAACTCAAATTTTATCTGACTCAAGTCCATGCTATTTTTACCGCATCGTCCAGTTCTATACCTGAAGGGCTTACTTAAAGTTATAACACAAGGCACAGACAGAACCTAGACTGTAGATACTTCTTTGGCTAAGAAGTGGTCTCAGAATGAGTAAAATGTAAACACAGTAGTACTGTAAAGATTTTGGGAGATGTGGTTAGTCCAGTTTCATTACCACTGAGCTTCTATAGCTTTGTCGGTAGTCTTTGAAATCCCCCGTAGTATTTTCATTTGATGGGAGTGCAAAGTGTGTGGTGGTGATGAGCAGAGGCTCTTGTCATTTACTAGAGTTGGAAACTTGTTTGACCATTCCGGGTCTGTTTCCTCATCTACAAAATGGGATTAAGGAAATTGTTGTAAGGATGGAAAGTGCTTAGTAGATGGTCGATTTTGTTTGTTGTTAGTATTGTTGAGTCGATTCTGACTCCTAGTGACCTTGTGTTCAGCAGAGCAGAACTCGGCCCAGTTTTTTTGCACCATCCTCTCACCTTCCGGTGCTACATCAGACAATGCTCCACTGCTATTCATAGGGTTTTCATGGGCAATTTTTTTGGAAGTGGGTGGCCAGGTCCTTCTTCCTAGTCTCTCTTAGTCTGGAAGCTCTGCTGAAACCCGTCCACCACGGGTGACCCTGCTGGTATTTGAAATACTGGTGGCATAGCTTTCAGCATTACGGCAATACACAGCTGCCAGTATGACAACAGACAGATGAGTGGTGTGATTTCCTGACCAGGAAATGAACCCGGGCTGCAGCAGTGACAGCGCCTGATCTTAACCACTAGACCACCAGGGCTGAAATACTCAGTAAATATGCAATAGATACTCAGTAAAAAGGGAATTCTATATTTGACCTATAGTTGCCTAGGAAGGCCAACAAATAGATGTTCTGTATTACAAAATAGATATTTCAAAACACTGTTAAAATTTTAACATTCAAAACTTTAAGGCATAATATCCTTTTGTATTAGGATTTTAGGTAGTGTAAGATACATTGGTCTTGTGGCTGATGTGACAGATATTTTCTAGAGTACTTCTGGATCAATGTCTAGGCACATTGGCATACAGTGCAGGAGTTATATGCCACCTGTTTTAGATATCTTAGTACATTTTATTCACATTTTGAATGTAAAGCCAATGTAATGTCCATTCTAAATAACGTGTTTCTGATCTTTGGATATGCATATAGTCACTGGGCACTTCTTGAGAGGTTCTTACTTGGCGTGAAAATATTGATTACCTATCTTTAAGTGGCATTTTTAACCTGGTTCCAAGACTGAGTGTCTGTGACTCCCCTAAGATTCTAGGTAAAACTTTGTGTGAACTTGCATTTTTTTCCCTAAAGAAGAAAAAGAGGGTCCATTTTCGAAGAGTCCATGACAAAATGGTTAAGAAACACAACCTTATAGGATAAATTAATAAATGTTAGTAACTTGATATAACTCTTGCAATGCCTGCAGCATTTGATCATATTATTATCCAACTTTTTATTCATCACCAGAAGGCAATGTGAATATATTTAGTGTCTGCAGTGAAAATTCAATATTTTTTATAATTCTAATTAATTTTCTTTCTTGTTGAGCAGATGAGAATGGCACTGTGACACAGTTTTCAGATGGCCTTTGGCATAACAATCAAACTGTAAGCATATTCCTTCCTACTTTATTAGCCAGATTCACTTGTATGTTTCTCTGGAAGCAACTTACATTTAGAGCTTACCTCTGTAAGACTAGCCCAGAGATTGATTCTTTCTAGTTAAAAAAAAAAAAGGAAGAAAAGAATTTGACTCTTAAATATGGATGCTTTAATTAATTTGAAAATTTCGTATAGATGGACCAGTTTGTTAGAAATATCTGATAAGTGATATTTTACTCTATATACGCACACACTCACACACTACAGACTTTCTCTTGACCAAAAATTGGAAAAAAAGAGTGAACTAATTCAAAGAGAGTGAGTTAACATAACATACCAATGAAGACTTGTTATTGTTAGAGAAATAACATGCTTTGAATCAATGTGGTGGAGTGGAGGACATCCTGAACAAAAATATTATGGAAGTGAAAGTGTGCTTACTTAAACATAGGCCCCCTAATATTCTTTTCCAACCCAGTTGCCCTCCTATATGGAAATTTGGAGACCACTGCTGAGTTTTTCTATGCATAAACCTCCCCATATTATTACTTATTAAGGTCTTAGGGTCTTAAACACCTTCGTGATTCTGTAAATGTTCTCATACTTTTTCCACAGTGAGCTTGGGAAAAATCTAAGGAGTTCTAGTCTCATGATGCCCATCAAGTCTCATCTTTGCAAATAAATTAGACAAATTTATCAATAGAACATTTTCTTTTGGCTCCCCTGGGAGACACAATTTTCCTTTTACTACGGGCAAATAACTATGTGCAACAAACAAAAAGAGTTTGAGGTATCAGAATAATCCTTCTGGCTGCAAGTGGTGAAAATGACAACACAGCCATAGTAAGAGGAGCTCACACTCAGTCACGGTGGGGTTCTTTAGTGTTGGGTCAAATGGATTTATCTTGTATACCTTAGTGACAATGAGAATGCTACATAGAAGTGATATTAAAAATTTTAACAACTTGTATGGCATGGGCACTGATTGATCTGATGGATGTGGGCTGAATTTGTATATATCTGCTAAATATCAGAACTGCCACCATGTAAATGATTATTATACTGCTATATGGCCAGATCTATGCTGGATTAAAAAAAAAAAAAATTCCGAATGGTGAAATTGTTCTTGACCTCAGTTACCTCCAGAACAGGTATGTTTAGCAGCAAGTAGAAGCAATTTAGAAGCAAGTTCACAACAGGCAGTAGCAAATTCGTGAGCTTTTTGTGCCTTGACTCTGAGAATGTTAAGATGTCTTCAGGTATCTTGAAAACATGCAGCATATATTTTGACCCAGTAAGTCAACTTCCTGGACTCTATCTTAAGGAGAGAATTGAACAGATACATGAAGATGTATGAGAAAAGATGTTCATTGCTGCTACTTGTAATCATGAAAATGTTATAAACAACCTAAATGTTCAGGAGTAAGGGATTAATTACATAGTCAATTGAGCATTCCCAAATATTGCCATTAAGAATGTAGTCACTGCAGTACATTTACTGACATGGGAAGACAGTTACTATTGCTTGTTAAATGAAAAAAGCAACTTTTAAAATAGTAGATATACTGTAGTATATATTGAATATGGTAATTGTTTCTGATAAGAAAAACACCAGAAGGATAAAATTCTAGGAGACTATATAATGAAAAATGGTAACAGTGGTTGATTGTGGATGTTAAGATTATGGTTGATTTTAGTTTCCTTTCTTTATGCTTAGCTGCACATTCTAAAATGAACATGCAGTTTTTATGTAATATAATATTTTATAAAATGAAAGCAAAGCCTGACTCCTGCAACCCCATGTTCCATCTAACCACTTTACCGCCTATTGGTAAGGTAATAACAACATGACTTTTTCCTCCCAGACACTGGCCATTCCCGCTTTAAGCAAGGATGGCTCAAACGCCAAGTTATCTTCCCCTATATTCCTCATACTGTTTGTCAGGAAGTACCTAGAAGTACCTTTCCCAAGAACTGTATTTAATCTGTAGTTGACAGACACAGAAATAGAGGTTCAGAGAGGCTAAATAACTTGTCCAGGGTTGCACAGCAATTAAGTAAAAGAGCTGGGATTCGGACTCCAGAGACTAAACTCTTACACAGGAAGAAACTTGATCCTTCTCTCTGATCTTCCGTTTCCTTTCTGTTAAAATACCTATGCTGTGGGATCGCTTTAGGATTAGAGCTAAGCTGTGTAGAGGGGCCAAGCATAATGCCTGGCATGTTCAGGCTTATTCCAGGAGGTAGTGATCCCTTATGAACTGCACTAGGAGATTTAAACAAAATTCTGCATTTCTACCCAATTGCACAGCATTTTAAGTTAATTTTTAATCAGGGCCATGTCTGTGAGCAGCTTCTTCCAAGTCCATTTATGTAGACATAGATAGAATCTTGAATTATAGTTAAAAAAAAACAAAACTATAATCAAGGACCAAATTCAATAACTGAGCACATTCAGATAATATCACCAAGTCAACTTATACATGAACAAAAATTGTTTTTTTGCTTTTTTAATATAAGAAGATGCATTTATGGAAGTAGCTTATTGATTAAAAAAATATCAATTGACATATAATAAATGTAATTGACATATAATATGTAATTGACATATTAATAAAGTACACCCATTAGAAGCATACAGTCTGAGTGTTGACAAATGTATACACCTATGTAAATACCACCCCAAGCAAGATAGGAAACATTTCCACCATCCCCAAATACAGTTTGAATTTCAAATTATCTAGAATTTCACCATAGGGTTACAACCTCAGATCATTTGGTCTTACCCATCATGGTCTAGAAGTAGCCAAGGGCTAATGAAGATAAATGTGTCTGGGTATGTCATTTTAGGACCTGTTTTGTACCTAGCTCTAACAAGATGCTTTTTCGATCTGCTGATGTTTCCTTAGCATGTGTTGCTGGCACAGAATCCATGGATGATCACCAGTAAGGGGCTCTCTGTTGGAATCAGTATTACTGCCGTGGTAGTGCTCACTTTTTTGGTTGTCATGATTGCCAAAAGTAAGTCGTTTCAAGATTGTGCCTAAGGGAACAGAGCAAGGGTTCTAGAGCCAGATGGCCTGGGTCAAGTAGCTTCACACGGCATGGGATTTCGATCTCACATAACTTCCCTGTTTCTTAGCATTGTTCTTTTTTTTTCCCTTGAAATTGTAAAGAGAAAAATGAAATTTATATTCTCCATAGGAGAAATTAAATACTAAGAAATAAGAGTTTCTTGGGTAGAGTTGGGATTTGGAAGGCAGCAAATCATTGTAATACATAAGATTTGTTCACTCCTCCTCTCGACCCCTCCAGAGTCAGTTTTTGTCCCCATGAGGGATGAGAGCCTTGAGAGTTCTACACTCATTTAACTGAAGAGGCAGTGAGACTTTGGGAGGGAAACTGATGTCAGGGCTAGGGATAGAACAAAGGGTTTCAAAAGCAGCCATCCACCAGGGGTGTGTGTGTGTGTGTGTGTGTGTGTGTACAATCTGTCGCCTATAAAAGAACCATAGTCATCCATTTTTTAAAGTGAAATATAATTATTAATAATTGCGTTAAAGTAAGCTGAGGCATGTGGGTGAATACACTAAACCGTTAATGAGCATGAGATCCTTTACACTAAGAGGCTTGTTTGGGTCATACAGATTCAAAAGGAATCACCTGAAGTTACCAAGGAAGAGGCCAGTCTGGGGTTTTTTTCCTTTATTTTTTTAAACATTCTTCTAAATTTAATTTTTTCAGGCTCTGAGCTCTGTACAGATTTTGGTCATAGTGAAGTCATAGTAGAAATAATATACTTGTTTAGAAAAAGATCTCATGAACTCTTTGGCTGACATGTTAATTTTCTCTTCAACTACTTCCCAATTTAGAATATTTGAGCATGAGAAACAAGCAGGAGCAACTCAGGTAAGTTTGAAAGGGTTTGTGTCAACACCATTTGATGTTCCTATTCTAGTAAAAATAAAGAAAAATTTCTCTCTATGCTGATCCTCTTTTTCTCCTGAACTCTCCATTTTGTGCCATAGATCTTAAAAAATCTAGTTTAAGGAGCGCCTCTATTGCTGTCCACACCTTCCAGTGATATTTTTAGCTTTCTCTATTTCCCTGGAATTGTGCCAGAACTGCTACAGAAAGAACACCTCAATCCTAACCCCTTAGAGCAAGAGAACTAAATCGAAAATTGTGTTTGATGGAACATTTGAATGAGTGTGGTTTGTTCTTTGATTTCATTCAGCACTTTTTTTACTGAATGCCTACTATATTCCAAAGAGAAGAACAAAGCAGACAGAAAACATATAAGCAAATACACAGTCCTTTTAGTGCTTCTAGACAAATACCATGGGGAATAGAGAGCAGGATAATGGGCTATTTGAGGGAGCCCTGAGGAGTGGAAGGCAGCTCTGCAAAGATCCGGAGGAAGACAACTGCAGGCTGAAGAAGTGCCAAGGCACTGTGGTGGGGCAAGTGTCTCTGGTTCTCCACAGTCTCCATCATCGCCTACTGTTCCATACTCAGCCTGCTCTGCTCATTCTCATTAGTTATCTGGCCTCATAGGCATTTGAATTTACAAGTTTTGTAAATCCACTCTACTGTCCAATTAGAACTTAAATCCCCTTTACTTGCATCAACGCCCTGTGGTCATCTGCCAGAACACCTGTAATGGTAGGAAACCACTACATACTTCCACATCCAAGTAGCCTGCTTCGTTACTCCAGCTTGGGCTTTAAGCAAGGTCTTCCTTTGATTCAAAATTCATCCCCTTAGGCTGCCATCCACTATTCCTAGTTGTCTTTCATTGGATGTTTGCACGCAGTCTTTCCTAGGTCTGAGTTAATTACATGAGCCAATCCACAGACTGTGCATTGAACAACACCCAACACATTGTAAGTGCTCCATAAGTGTTGGCTTCTGTTATTGCAATCATGTCCTTCACAGCAATACACCTGTGAGATAGGCACTATTATTCTCAGGTTACAGATTGGAAAACAGGTTTAGAAATGTTAAGTGACATCCAAGGTCACACCACACAGCAGGTAAAAGACTCAATTTTAGGTCTGTTAGAGTCCAAAACCCATACTTATAGAAGTTTTTGACTGTCTGCTTCCAAAATTGAAAGAAAAAATACTCCTTATAGGCAGAAGAGCATGGAACGTAGCATCCTTTTAGTTGATTTCTGTCCTATCACTAACTGTTTTTAAAGATCCACTTTTTATTACCTAATTGTAAAAAAAAATATTTATTGTAGAAAATGTTGTAAAATATAGAAAAGCAAAAAGATAAAAATGAGCATTTCCTCATGACATATTTTTTTGGCAGCTATGTCACACTGACTCATTTTGAGCTATTGACACCTAAACCGTTTTCACACATGTACGATTGGTCCGTCTGAAGATGAGCTGAATGAAGACTCAATATCATTTCTGGGTGGGCTGAGGTGATAAAAACAGTCACTATATACAAATCATAAAAGAGAACCTATAGCAAAACTCCACACATGACCTTTTCATACACTTGATGTGTGAGTGTATGTGTTATAAAAATCATCTAATCCATGGCTTTTGAATTCTGACCATTAAGACACAGTAAGATTTTTGATACCATGATCCAGTGCACACTTAACATGAAACAATACTATTTTATTACATCCAATATGCTCTGATATTTTGTATTCTATGTTTATTTTAAATACAGGATGTAGACTGCTAAATGAATTTAATAACCCTCTAAAGGGTCATAATCCACAGTTGGAAAAACACCAGCCGAACTATTTCTTAGCCACTTTTGAGAATGCATCTTGATGTAGCACTTTAATTTGATGTCTGATATCTGTCTTCTCAGATTTTCAATTTTTGTACTCTATTACGTGAGTCTCTTGAAGGATTTTGACTACTGCTTAGGATTTCTATCTGCTTGTTAAACAGAATTTCCTGCGACTTAATAGTCACAACTCTGGAAGCTTCTATTCATTTCATAGGCTGTGTCAGTGGGACTCCAGGAGTTGTAAATACCCAGTCTTGCCAGAGCATATGCAATTGTGCTGCTCATACTTTAGAAGTGGTCTGCTTCTCCCTTACAGATGTTATTCCTTTTGTAGTGTGGTTTCATTTAATGACCCCCAGATTGGAGCTTTGCAAAGTGCAGCTGAATTACGTGTCCGAGCAGAAGACAATATCTACATTATTGAGGACAATGTTTACGTCATGGATTAAGACCCAGTGGCCTCTAAGGGTTTATGCTCTTGACTGCAGAAGACAGTGAACAGATATCGCCACGTCAGACTCCTTTTAAGCTCCAGGATGATTTTTCTGGCAGTTTCACTTGTCATTCCAACATGTCAGTGATGTTGGGTAGAGTGACTCCAGCTCCTCTGTGTACAGTCAACCTCATTGGAAATATAGTCCTAATTTTTTATACTGAAACTGGCTCCATCTTTCTGGTCATTGCAGAGCTCTCTCCCACACATGAAATGAATACTTTAAAATTGTGTATTCTCTTTAGACCTTATGAATCCTGTATCCATCAGCAATTTTCATTAGAGAAACAGGAAAAGAACCTCTACCTTGGTCACCAATGCTCTCAAGAAAAGTAGAATTAGTAAATCCAATTTGGAACTTGACTTCATTTGGAAGCATTTTATGACTCTCTCTTGTTTTTTATCTTGTAACTCCAAATATTACATTCTTAGGTCCCCCAAGGGTTTCAAATCATGTGGAGCACAGATTTTTATTTCCCCCATGGGAAAATAGGAGTGTGATTTCACCATTATACGTAGAACTGGTTTCTCATGGCTCTGGAAATACAAGGTTTTAAGTGCTTTCCCTGGGACCAAGATGGGTATTTTAGCAGTTAGAAGAAGCGAGGGTAGTGAGTGGACCAAGTAGATACTAGGGGAAGAACAACAATTGCCATGTGATTTAACACATGTATGCTATATCTGCTGTATCTATGTCACAGTTCTAGACACTTATGTAGACGACTGTCAGGCTTTCTGGACTAAAGTTTGGAATGAGGCAGGGAAGACATAAAAGGAAAAAAGAAAGGGAAGGAATAGGGAAAAAGGCCTTTGAAAAGTTGTTTTGCAAATATAATAGTGTTGTTTGAGAGTGTTACTAGTTTTGACCAAAATTCTAAATGGTCCCCAAACCACTTTGATTTTTAAAAGTGTTTTGGAAGGATGAAGGGTTTTTTTTCATATCAAATCAATTCCAATTCTATTTTTTTCACAATTCAATTAAATTTTTGGTTTGGCCAAGAGAGTTAAACAAGGGCTAAAAGTAAGGATATTTTTAGTCACCAGAAGCATTTTCTATATGAACAGTTAACAAGGCTGGGTATTAATTTCAATTTTGAGTATACCCTGAAATAACTCATGCTTGGGTGAACTGTTCAGAGCTACTCACACCATAAGTGGTCTAAGAGGTCAGAACACTTGTTTTCAAAGGCAACATTTTTGACACTATTCTGCGGAGTTCTAGGAAATTAATAGGACCTCTGAATAAAGGTTATGTGGGCAAGTAGGATTGTTAAACATTCTATATCAGATTTCTCAAATGCGGCCAGCCTGATCTGGTCTAAAAAATTTTGTTCAAACTACAGTGTTTTTCTTTTAAATTCAAGACAATGGGCATAAACGTGGAGATTTCAGATTAAAGCCCAGATCTGTAGCTTCTCTGGAAAGACCTGGCAACATTGAACTGCATTCCTGTGTAGTCAGGGCCCCATTAGATGGCATTACCTCCCTTCAGCCCCCCAGTTCTCGCTTTTCTTGCACACTCACATTTGTTACTTGCTTTGTGACTGTGGGGCTTTGAATTTATGACAACTGCTCTATTCTCCATACCCTTCCTGGAGATTTATGATGGCACAATAAAGGCTCTGGGAATCCGGTTAACTTTGTTTAATCCAGCATTTCCCAAACTTGTTTGAAACCCATGAGCACAATGACTCCTGGCATACCCATATGTGGGAGTGTGGGGGAAAGCAGGTAGCACACAGAATTAGGAATAGGACCTGAGTTCTAATCCTAAATCTTACCAGTAACATTGGATGACATTAGGACAAATTATTCTTTATGCTTAAATTTTTAAAAATCTATTAGAGATAATCATTTCCATGCCTACATTGGTATATAGTGGTAATTCCAATCACATACTACTTGTGAGAAGTCTTTGAAAAGTGAAAAACACTATAGACATGCAAAGGTTTTTTTTTTTTTGGTTGAATTTGTAGAAGATCTAGCATTAGTGCTCAGTAAATAATTTCAACAGTGTTGCATTTGTAAGTCTCTTGCCATATGGTACCTCATTTTTTTTTTTTTTTTTAATAATGTTGCTTTTTGGGAAAAGTTGATATTGAGTAATTTGGCTATAATTTTATACCGCAGAAAAAAATTGTCAATAGAGAGGGAGAACAGATTAGAGGGAAGGAAGGGGGGTATTTAGTTGATATTAAATTTTTTTTTGGTACATATATCAATTTCGTACAATGTATTGAGTTTTATTTTCAATGCTTTGAGACAATTGGGATTCCATTTTCCACAATTTGTCTTGGGACATTAGGACACTGGTGTGATTAAGACTGTATATTTAAACTTAGGAAAATTTGCACATCTTTAAGAAGTAGCAGAACCAATCTTTCACTGATGGCTGTGAAGATAATTTTGTGAATGAATGAAAGTGTGAGGGACTCCCTGTGACTTTTCGTTTGTATTTATACTCACTCACTAATAAAAGAGATTTTTGCTTTCATTTTGAAAACTGACTTGTTTTCTCGGGCTCATCAGTTAGTTAGGGCCAGGCATCTTCAACTTGCTGTGGCAGTCAAGGGTACGTAGGGCAAGATTTGAGAGTCAAGTGTGCCCAGCATCTGTCTTGTGCTGGAGGTGGAGCAGAAAACAACCCCGAACTCCAATACCCGAGGAGCACCAATTTAGTAAGGAAGAAACTCCAAACCATCGATTCTGGTACTGACTAATGCTAAGGAAAAAAAGAACATAGTGATAGAGCCAGGTTCTCAACTGTGGCATTTGGGGCCAGATAACCCTTTGTTGTGGGGACTGTCCTGTGCATTGTAGGATGTTTAGCAGCATCCCAGGCCTCTATCCACCAGAGAACAGTTGTGCCCTTCCAGTTGTGACAACTATAAATGTCTCCTGAGAAGCAATACCACCCCTGGTTGAAAACCACTGTGATAGAGGATGCCTGGAGGGTGTGGGGGTGTGGGGAGTGGGGTAGCTTTAGCTGGGTTGATCAGGAGCTGCCTCTGGGAAAGAGGTGATATTTGAGTTGAAATCAAAGTAAGGTGTAGGCGGCAGCCACTTGAAGGGATCCACCAAAGGCGAGGGCCATGGGGCAGGAAGAAGCTTGTGTATTAAGAGGAAGAAAGTTAGCTGTGTTTCAAAAAAAGCCAGGGTGACTGCCCCAAAGTGAGTGAGGAAGACTGGAAAGAAATGAAGCTGGAGAGATGGGCCTCGGATCTCGCAAGGTGCTGGATGAATAGGGCTCTAGGAACACATCTGTTTGGGAAAAGACCCACTCTCGGAAAACAAAGCACTTTAGCACATTAAAGGTTAAACCTGCTATCCATTCCCAAATTATATTTGAACATTTATTAATGTGCTTCAGTGACACAGTTCTAAGTTCAAATATAAAAAGCCAGTTTGGTTGGGGTGACAGAAGAGGGGGCATAGGGGAAGGATGGGGAGAGGGGTACATCCTGGCAGTGAAGGGCTTTCCACGGGACTGTATGAGAGCACCCGGCCTAGGAAGAGAGGTCCTGGAAGCTGAGGGATGGGGTGCCAAACTTTGGCTCTGATCATACTGGGCCCAGCAGCAGCTGAACCCACTCTCCCCAAACTCACAGCTTTGAGTAGTGGGATGGTGCAGGGGCTGCTTCAGTGGGTCCACAGTAGATTTTTAACATAGTTGTGTGTTTTGATGTGTATTTTTAGAAAACAATGCATCAAAACCATGATTTAATGGATATTGTTTAAGTGACTAAAATTTTAAAGTTAATTAATCTAAAATAACTGGCAAAGGTTATGTAGATGCCCGAAGCTGGGGAGGCAATGGGTTAGATCAGCTGGTAGCTTCTTGAAATACAGATTCCTGGGCCCTAAGCCTAGAGATGCTGATTCAGTAAGACAGGTGGACCCTAAGAATGAATTTTTTTGTTTGTTTAAGTTACAGAAGACAAGCTACTACAAATTATTTTACATGTCAACCAAAAAGTTTAGACTTCATGAAAGAATGTGTAGAAATAAGACACACAATAATGCTTCATTTCTACTTGTTTCAGAGGTAAATCTCAGGAAATGAACAAGAAAACGTTAGATTTAGACTGTGTGGGTATTGGATTGCCAATTTTGAAGCTAAACAAATTCCTCATTCAGTGTCCCCAAAATAAAGGAAAACCCTAAGAAATGGAGGGGAAGCATATTTACACTCTGGTCTTCATAGCCAGGTTTGTTCACAGATGGTTCTTCTAGGTTCATAGTGTTCTCTGGAAGGAAAGGAATAACAATTTGTCATTTGCTCTCCCTCTGATCAAGGTCTTTTATCAGTTAGTTGTGCACAGCTTTGGAGAGTCTCAGGATACACATCCTCCCAAGACTTTTCTTCTCCTTTGACCCTTGATCTCATCAGATTATCTGAAGAAATATAAACAAGAAGTCATTGCACCACCCACTACAAAAGTGACAATAGCCAACAAACAATAAGGTCGTGCCTTTAGTAGCCTTGATGTAGAAGTGAGCGTGGTGTAAGGAACTGAAGGGACTTTCCAACTCTGACTTGGAGTCTTTGATGGCCACTTGTGCTTTTCCCCAGTGTCCCCTGAGTCCTTCCTCCACAGTACCAGTATAATTTAAAAACCCAAGGCCTGATTATGTTACATATTAGCTGAAAATCCTCCTGCTGCGCCCCAGTGGGTACAAATCCCTACTCTGCGTAAGTCCTTCACAGCTTCTCCCTTGCCTGCTTCTTGCAGCCCCTCCCTGCTGTGCTCCAGCGGATGTAAATGCCTCAGATACCCAGCCTCCTCTCCGTAGATCAACCCACCTCCCGGGAATGCTGGTCTCCTGTCTCTCCACTGGCCGTGTCATTTCTCAAGGCTCAGCTCCGATATCCCCATATCAGCCTTCCTGGACCTCACCACCTAGATAGAATTAACTCACACTTCTGTTAGCCCTTTTAGTCACTCGACGAATATTACAGAGGGCATCCCTTATGCCAGGTGTGGTGCTATGCCTAGCTCAGGTCATTTTGCACAAGCTCAGGTCATTCTGCCACACCTAGTGTGTGTGGCACCTTTGGGTGAATTGCAAAGAGGCCCGCTCCTCCTTCTGCCTGACACAGCCCTGAGCCAGGGCAGAGGCTTGTCGAATGGAGTCTGGCCTATGATCTTTGTGCTGTATAAACTACAACCACAATT